TGCTGATAGACTAAATAAATGAGTGTCTAATCGTGCTGCAGACACGTGTAGTCAATAATTTGGTATTTCAGTGCATCTTAGTTAAAATTTAAATATTCTGCCTAAAACTGGCAGTGTTGTGCCGCTGTCAGGTAAAAACTCTGCACTGTATTCTAATTAAAATCTGCCACCGCTATTGGCTAAGAGGTATGCTATGATGTAAACTGGTACATTATGATGTCACAATGCTGCCGTGAGCCTGTGTGTGTATTTGTTAGCAGCTCCGCCCTCTCGGTCTGCCAGGCAACAGCATGTGTTGCATTTTTCAAACATGAAGTGGGAGTGGAGTTAGACTCTGGCAGGGGTTGACTTGCTCTTTAACTTCTCAATAGAATTTTTGATCTTGTTAATTTCTATAAAGGTGTGTAAAACTAATTAAAACATTTTAATGACCATTTCTGATTATAATCAGTTGCTCTGAGTTTTTCATGCAGGCTGAACATGAAATAGTCTCCTACACCTACTGTATCTCCTACATTAGCTTCTGGTAGAAAACAGACGGTGAAACTCTAGGATTAGAACTTCCTGACAGATCTACGTCACACTGTCACTTAACATTCATGGACTCACCCATCGTGACTCACGACGGGGAAGGCTGTTGGTTCAGCGTTCAGGAATCAGCAGAGAACCTCTCGACTAGTAGAAGCTAACCATTAGCAATAGCAACTGAACCACTCAGCAGAACTCCTCCAGGCTTGTGTTATTTGTGGAGGTAAAACATCAATGACCCAGAACAAACAGAGCTGGTGTTAGAGTCATGTTGCTGTTGTCCAATCCAAGGCAAGATGTCCAAATATCAGGAAGCAAGACTCCAGATCCAGCTGTCTGCTGCAGTAGACCTCTCCATGCTGATCCAGGTGCTTCTGGGCTTGTTTTGCCCCGGGTGCGGCTTGCAAGGCATTCATTCCTACCAGGGACTAATCCAAATGTACTGATGAAACAAGCGTTCCACACCTTGAAACACCTTTACGATGCAGAAACTGCTGGTTTTGAAGTAAGAGGCTGGGGGCTGATTTTTATCAAGGTCAGAAGGTCAGATTCATGCATAGACTGTTCTTCTGGTTAGGCGACTTCTCACTTATTTAGATTTTGTGTGCGCCTTCTGATGAGAATCGGTTTGGGAAGTCAGATCATTTCAACTTGTTTCCAGTTTGGAGGGAAAACGTGAACTGATTTGTTTTTTTTTAAAGCACTAAACCCACAAATCTAAAAATGTTAAGTTTATTCAAACATCTGCAGTCAAAAACAAGAGACCCGTCAAGGTGCATATCCACATGAACTATACGGTGTGTGATAAGTAGGATGAGGCAATAGCTTATTACATCCCTTTCTGTCCAGGATTAAAGTGCAGTTATCCCAGCATAGACAACATCAGTCTGTCCAGAAAGGTGCCAACAGTTACATGTTTACTCGTTTATAAATGATTGTGCCAACATGAATATATAAACTCATATGTACACATCTGTATCTATACATAGAAACACACATACTAGCACTCAAACGCACATTCACACTTCCATACGTGTGAGCCGCTAGGGAAGGTTTTGAAAAGCCTGACAGACGGGGAATGCTGTTGTCGTTTTAACAATCAGGAAAAAGCAGACAACATCTCAGCTAGTGGAAGCTAACCGTTAGCATTAGCAACTCCACCACACAGCAGTAGTTCCTTCAGGTTTGTGCAGGGACTTTGTGAAGTGCCTTAAGACGACTTGTCGTGATTTAGCGCTACATAAATGAACTGGATTGAATTTGTGGAGATAAAAAAAATCAGCATTGCAAGTCAGTGGTAGAGTTGTGTTGCTGTTATCCGATCCAGGTGAGATGTCCAAGTGTCAGAAAACATGTGATTTCCAACATAATTCTTTTTTTATTTTTCATTTTTTTGTTTTAGTGAAGCGCCTTGTGATTTTTATCATGAGAGGCGCTATAGAAGACATTTTCTTCTTCTTCTTAAATCATCATCTATAATTACCCAAAGGAACTTGATTTCGTGCAGTCATTCGAAGTGTATTTATAAGGAAGAGGATAAGAGTAAACTAACTTTTCTGATAAATAAAATGTAGCTTTCATCAAAATAAAAACATTCTTTGCATGAAAAACGTTAACTTTTATGAATGAAATAATAAAAGACTACCAAATTCGATTAACGAGCAAATCACTTATCAAGGATTATAAGAAAATCCTTCGGAAGAAAAAAAGACTACAGTAAAATCTGTAGGATGTTCTGACACGAGTATAAACATTTTTGGGGGAAACGTTATGACACGACATCTTGATCTGATGTTCCGATGTTGGGAAAACGTTAAATCCCTTGTGAACTCAGAGCAAAATGATCCGGTCTGTCCGTTTTCTCCTCTAAGTGTAACTTTAAACTGCTCTCTGTTCGCTGCTCTTTGGAAATCTGACAGTTTTGGATCAAACTTGTGGAGCTCCTGCAGCCTGAGCCAGCTGAACCTGTCGCGTTATTAAAACACCGCGTGAGTCCAACTGCGGGTTTAACGTGGCTTTATTTTCTCCTGCATGTCCCCATAACATGGCTGCCGTTCCCTCTCCCTAGTCACCCTGCTGATGTCATAACCAGTCGCCTGTAATCCACAACAGCATAACATTACACCACATCTCCCCTTTCCTAGAATCAATGGGTAGACTACCATTGATTCGCGCACACCTTAGGGGATTATTGAGCCCCGTGGCTGGAAGGTTGGCTCCTATCTTGAACCATTCACACACTCATCACACATTTTAACTTCAGCTTAGTTGGAGTAAATATTTCCAAAACAACACTTTCCCTGTGCTAAATATTCTGTTGAACGTTTGAACCGGCAATACGTAGAAACACTAGAACCATTACAGTAACTCTGCCTGTTTGTTCCCCACAAACATCCAGAAACTTTTAACAGCTTTTCCTTCCACTAAACTTTCCCGAGTTCTTCTTCAGCCGGTCCTTGTGACAACTTTGGAACAACTTATAAGTCCAATCTTGCTGGTTTGATCGCAGCTCTCCCTGCTGTGGTCCTGGTCACAGGCGTCGGAGATGGTTTCAGGAGATTCTGCTCTGGCGTTGTTGCTGCTGGCAGATCCAGTTTGCTGAGTTGGAGCATCCCCGCTTTGCTGTTCAGCTGCTGCCCTGCTCCTGCGAAGGTCTCCTGGGGACGAGATGTCGGCGATTCCGTCTGATGATCCCATGAGGTCCCTCCACCAGATAGGAGCGCGGTGTGGCATGTTCCTTGATGACAACTCCCGATGTTTTCTGGTCTGTAACCCACACTTCTAGCCCAGGGTGAGTCTGCTGAGATTTTGCACACGATGCCACAGATTATAGCTTTGTGCATCCTTCCTCTTCCTCTCCTTTTCCTTAAGCTTCACAACATTTTCATCTGGACGGTCAGGATCCAGCAGGAAACATTGGTATGGTTGTACGAATTCTCCTCCCCATGAGAAGTTGAGTGGGGCTGTAGCCATTTTGAAGCAGAATCGCCCGATATGACAGCAGGGCCAGGTCTTTCGCTTTCTTTAGGAGTCTCTTGACCGTCTGCACCGCTCGCTCAGCCTCAGCATTTCCTTGGGGGTATCTCGGGCTGCTGGTGATGTGAAGAAATCTGTAAACTTTGGCAAACTCAGCGAAGGCCGCTCCTGAAAACTGCGGTCCGTTATCGGCGATTAAAGTCTCACAAATGGCGTGACGTGCAAAGATTGACTTTAAATGGGTAATCACATCATCCGCTCTAGACGGGGTCAAAATCTCTACGTACCTCGATGCATAGTCCACCACTAAAAGGTAGGTTTTGTATTTCAACATGAACGGATCCGCTCCGCGCTTCTGCCATGGCCGACCTGGGTATGGTGTCGTCATCGGCGGCTCCCTGTGGTTCTGCCTCTCCTGACAGCACGTCCGGCAGTTCAGAACCAGTTCGTTCAGCTGCTGACTCGACCCTGACCACCACACAGACTGGTGTGCTCTCTCTCTGCACTTTACCACGCCTTGATGTCCCTCGTGCAGCCTGGACAGAACATCATTTCTCATAGCAGCAGGTATGACCAGTCTTTGTCCCTTTAGCAGAAGACCATCTGGACCTTGAGAAATGCCTATTCACTCCTACAGTTTCAGAGTTGGTTCTCTGACACCGTGTGTGGGCCATCCTTCTGTGCACAGCTGCATCACTGGTGCACACACAGCCAGAACAGCCAGAGAAGCACTGCTGATGATTCTGAAAACTCCATTTTATTTTGGAGAAGCTTCAAAATGAACATAAACTTAACCTAGTCAATGTAAATGGGTCAGAATGACACCAGCACAAGACACACAATCCCCTTTCAGACACACCAGGTTCAACTTAAATAGTGGCTGATCAGACCACTCTACAAACAAGAGGGGAACAATTAACACACACATCCTCACACACACAAACTAACCAGTCTAATCAATTCAGGTAACTCAAATAACTATATCATAATTACAAACTCCCTATCCATAACAGAAAATGTCTACATTAAATTAAACACAAGCATAAACATGAATCTCCCCTCCCTTGGGAGTGGGTAGATCCCAGGAGTGCTGATTAGGCTTCCTGAGGAGATGAGCTGCAGGTGTGAGACTCCATGGGCAACTCCAAGTCACTGGTAACTCAAACAGAAGTACAAAATTAACACATGCATTCATAAACAGAAGACTGATTGTGTGCGCATCAACCAGTCATCCTGGACAGAAGACAGAAAACAAACATTACCAGAAGACCATGTCCCTGAGGGAGTAAAAAAACAAACAACAAAAAATCTTGAGTTCAACACTGTTAGATTTGTTATTATTTTTCTACGTGATAGTATCATGTAAAGCTGCCAAGCCCATTGGTTGATTTATCACGGCAAACAATACAAGCTGAGCTGTTTAGTTTGGATTTACGCTGAGTTTTATTTTGAAGTGACCGGAAGTGACTCACGATCCCCTCCTTGAGTTTGTTCGGGCTTTGCAGCTCAGACAGTTCGACTCGGCTGTCGGCACCTCTCCCGGTTTAAACAGAGCTCCAGCAGTCTCAGTCAGAACCTCAGGGAACAGAAGCATCCCAGAGGCGGGTCCGGGCTCGGTTCGGCTCAGCGGGCCGCTCTGAGTCCATGGCCTGGGCTGGCGCTAGATCGGCTGAACGCTCCGAGATGCTCCGAGATCTCCGCCGCTGCTCAACAACACCGACCCGGAGACTCAGCTATGATTCTCAGACGCAGAACCAGGTAATGTTAGCCGCTCTGGGAGGAGACGGGGGAGAGAAAACACCGGAGGGAGCGGGGTGAGGGGTGAGGATGCAGGGACCGAACCGGAGAGATGTGGTGGTGTGGGGGCCGTGGTCTAGCGGGGGAGGAGGATGGGAGAAATGGGTGGAGGGGCGCCTTCAGCAACAATGGCCTTCTGCTGTTTCTTTGGTCGCGTGCTAGCATGATGTTAACTTAGCTCTCTTGGTTCTGACCAATCTAGGAATAATGCAGGAACTAGAGTTCCTCCACACACCTCACACACCGTCATATATATGCAAATATCCTTGCACACCTTATACACCTTCACTAACCATATACACACCCACACACCCTCATACACCTCCACACACCCTCATACACCTCCACACGCTCTCATACACCTCCATGTTACCAAACCAGAGAGGATATACATTCCTTCTGTTAGCTCGAGCTGTTCAAACAAAATTAATCTTCAGCATTAAATTCTGGGTCTTCCATGGGGTCTTCTGCTTGTAGAAACTGCCTTGAAAACCTTCTGAGGGAGGTATTCTACACAGATTCCAGCACCATTGTAGCTGACTATTTTTGGCCCGTCAACAACCCTGCTTTTGATCAAAGGCGAGGGTTTAAACCAACCAATTGATCCAGAGGTTTACCAGCTCCTTATTCGCCCTATTTTAACATTCAACACTTTCATTACTTCAAAAGTCCTGATTCATCAGTTTATCTGTCCTTCATCCCATCCAGGTTCTTAAACTCTGTCTGATGCAGAGACTCACTCCCAATCTGAAGAGAGAGGAATTTCTAGAAATTTCTGGTCCAAAAACACGGTGTGAGACGTAGAAGAGGAGACTCTCATTTGCCGAGCTATGACTCTTCCAGTAACAATAAAACACGAACAGAATCACATCATCAGCAGAAAACAATGATGATATTCTGAGGTTTCATTGTGACCCCCATACCTGATGCTCCCACTGCACTCATTACAGAATTATCTAGTGGTTCTGGACCTGATCCAAGTCCACAAAATACATCTGAACTGCACAACCAAACACCCATGATCTTCTAAGCACATCTGCAAGGATGACGTTCTAGTCCACTTGTCCACAACCAGATTAAAGTCCCAAAGCCTTTCAGCTTGATGGCTTCCATCTTTGCTTGTGCGCACAACCACCTGGTTACCAGCATAACAGGTTTTGGTGACCTTTTACACTCAGCCCCTGTAAGTTTCTGACATGGCAGATCTTCCATTGCTGCATCAAACATGAACAGTTATATTTGTAAAACATCAGTGGTTAAAATGTAATCCGCAAACAAAAATTAGTAATCCAGAAACACTCGCGGTGCCCCACAGGGTCTGATACCAGGACCTCAGTTGTTCCTAATGAATTTAAAGGTTCTATATCATGCTATTTAAAACCTTTCAGAGCATTAATAGGCCTATAAATGATGAAATATTACCGTTAGTTATGTAAGTTTTATTCTTGAGACATTTCTGTCCAGAAATAAGACTAGTTGATTAAATGAAATCCTGGCTCCACTCGTGTTAGCTTAACAACATAACCTCTAGTTCCTCAGCGAAGTTCAATTCTTCATCTGACAGAGCTGCAGATATTGGTTATTTTCACGTTTTCCTTAGATAGCGCTGCTAGAACCGATAACAATGGCTGTGCCAATAACAATTTGCACATGGTTTGTCTCAGCACCGTGGATGAGTGAGGGACAGAGAAACTTCTCCAGCCGTGGGATAAGTGGACTTGAAAGCACAACTTCTCTAACTTAAAAACATTTTGAATTTTTCTGATGGCACACCGTAATTCAAACAAGCATGTAAAACGTGTCAGAGTTCGGTGTTTTCGTGAGGAAAAACCTAGACCGCCTGGAAAAACACCCAGGCATCTCGCCTTAGTAAACAATGCAGGAAAACTCTGTAATAGGGCTGGGCGATATGGCCTAAAATCAATATCACGGTATATTAAGGATTTCACCTCGATAACGATAAATGGATAACTACAGGTATGCACAGCAGGGTATCTGCGGGTCCTTAAAAAGTCTTAAATTAGCTTTTCCAAATTTAAGGCCTTAAAAAATCCTTAAAGACAAATAATCCTTAAATACAGTTTCCAAAGGTCTCAAATTACTAAAGACCCAACAAACAAGATTCTTTTATTTCTATAAAAATTTTGTGAATTTATAGTTGGTGTTCAGCATTTTTGTGTACGATGTTGGTGTAAGCGGAACCGTACACGTTCAGTTAGTTGTGAAAGGGGGCTCTTTTTAAATGAGCACATTAGCTGGTTAAGCTAGTGGGAGCTTGCGCCATGGGGAAGTGCAAGTTTAATGGTAACTGGATGGCTAATCCCACGTTCGCGACGGGGTTAGCACCGGTTCCAGGCAATAGCTGGAAATTATAGCTTATATTCATTTTTAAAAATAGCTTAAATTTGGTCAAAGTGGTCTTAAAAAGTCTTAAATTTGGCTCCTTTAAACCTGTAGATACGGCTGGCACAGAAACAAGTTGTTCACTGGATAAGGCTGTCACATGTATTACGTTGAGTCACATCTTTACGTGACTTAAGGCGGTACAACTTCTTAAAGGGACATGAATGTTGCCAACCTACACACATCTTTTCATTTTTTTATTTTTCAAATTTATTGACATGGGAAAAATTCTCTAGAAGTCAGAAATTCTGATAATGATACATTTTCGATTTATTGCCCAGCCCTAATCTGTTAGCATGATTTTTGGTTAACAAATAAACTTGGAAGCACTTCTGACCCGTTCTCCTCCTTGCATTATTAGAGTCAAACGAGAACATATTTTGAATAAAGCGCCTCTAGTTAAAAATCACAAGTCTCTTCACAAGCATTAAAAACACAAAGATAAAAGGAGAAAAAGTAGCTTTGACTGTTTTGGTGGTATGATTTATGACTATATTGTCAGTAATTTGTTGAACCTTGGTTTGAAGAAAATTGTGAATCAAACTGAAATCACAATTTCTGCTAGAAAAATTGCAATTCAATCTTTCTAAAGTTGTTCAGCACTACTTCAGGCAGCATTGTAGAGCCATTGCTGTAAACTGACCAATCAGCATGCAGCTCTTTTAATATTCATGTCCTGGTCGAGTGGGTGGGGCAACCCAGGTTTTCCTTGGTAGGGCTTTATTATGGGGCTGTGTTTGGACCCTTATCAGGGCTCCTGTGATCATTTGAGCCCCAACAAAGTTTTTATACTATATAGTGGCTCAAAGACCAGTTTCCAATTGTAAGAAAAACAGTTTTACCAGGATCCCCTCAATAAAGTGTACAAGAAGAAAAACTCCATCCTCAGAGCTAGAAGGATCTAGGTTCCTCAGACTGTGTTCTGTGTGGACTATTTAGTCCTACGGATCCAGTAGAACCACATCTGCGACGATCAGAATCATCAGTTTCAACAGTGTTTCTGGTGGAATGTGATGAGCTGCTCTGGAGTCTGACTGATAAAGAACCTGTTCCACATTCCTGCAACACAAACCCTAACTCGTCCAGACGAGTTTAGACCTTCCAGGAAATAAAGCGTTATGTTTTTAGGGAGTCGAAGACGACTGATGCACCAGTATTGTGTTGGTCTGTACCAAACATCCCAGAACAGTCAGCTGATGTTAAGGGGGTACTTAAAATGTGTTCAGAGTTGGTTGTCTTGAGTTCTGCGAGGACGTCCTGCTTCAGATGGTGCATGCTCGCGTAGAGGAAACTCCAGACATTCATCTCTCTGGGAGACGAGGCGTAAGAGCAAATTCTAACAAACTCACAACATTGATGATGAAGAAAGAGCTCCATCAGTCAGGATCTGGACCAGAAGCTGGTTGGCAACATGTCGAGGTGAACTACAGAGATCTAGGAGGACCAACTTTTAGATACTTACTGAACAGTCTAGAACTTCTGAGATATTTGTGATTATACTTCTGTACAACACAGCTACCTAAAATCACTTAAGCATAAAACTGATGAAATCCACCACTCTGAACATCTGACGACAGCTGTAGATGAAAAATCGGGGCCATCAGCTTTGGACCATTGAGTTTGCAGGTCACCAGACAGGGTAAGAACACGTATCTGTTCCTCTAGCATATTTATTTGTCCCCTCTGGTTCCTGTCCTCTCAGGATGCTGCGATGGCTGATGGGAGGACGGTTGGGTCCAGTTTGGATGTGGAAAGCTCTGTTTCTCTTTGTAGCCATTGCTTTTGCTGGACAGCTGCTGGGACTAATCTTCAACAGAAGGTTTGTGGTTTGGTTTCTTCTTCGTGTTGTAGCTTCTGCTGAGCTCAGCCACCCCAAATGTGCTAAATGGAAGCTGTTCTTTTCTTCAGCAGTGTCCAGCCAGCTCCCCAGTCCATCTTCTCCTCCCCTGATGCTCAGGGCCCATCTCTGGGCTCCTGCCAGCCCCACACTCACATCATGTTCCTTAAGACTCACAAGACTGCCAGCAGCACTGTGCTCAACATGCTGTACCGCTTCGGAGAGGAGCATGGCCTCCACTTTGCCCTTCCACTGGGATACCAGCTGGGCTACCCGCTGCCCTTCAACGCTCACAGGGTCAAAGGTTACCGAGGTCCCAGAGCCATTGAGTTCCATATCATGGGCAACCACATGAGGTTTAATAAGCCAGAGGTCAGTGGTTAATAGTAATAACACTGTAAACTAGCTGAGACCACCTACTACAGCAGGTCTCACGCCGTTCTTTAGATCAGAATCCTGGTGAGGTAGGTTGCTGCGTTGATCAGAGGAACACTTTCATGAATTTGTTGCTTTTGCAGCTTAAAACCTGACATATATATATATTTCTATGTTGTATAAAAATCGAAGACGGTGTTCTCCATCAGCTGACTCTGCTTTAACTCAGAATGTAGCAAATAACCACAGATCTCCATGTTGTTGAAAACTCTTCGTTCTTTAACCACTTACTAATTTTCGCTTGAGTTGACCTCTACTGGTCGTAACCAAATACATGTTTGCCTTGGTGGCCAATGGGGGGGGGGGGACTTTTAGTGATGTAGTAACATGCTGTCGGCTAGTAGCGCACCAAGTTTGTGTTGAAGGCTGAATGCTTGTCTACCTGGGTGGAAATCTGAAAAACACTTCAAAAATAATGTTAATAGATTTTTGCCACTGAGTGCTGACCGATGCATTCATGATCCCTACATAAAACGGTTAAGACTGCTAAAGGCCGTGAACGGCTTGTTAGGAGTCACACATTTGATGAACTGTGTTGTTTCAATTCCCAGGTGGAGAAGGTGATGCCTGCAGACACCTTCTACTTCTCCATCGTCAGGGACCCGGTGGCTCTGGCCGAATCCTCCTTTGCTTACTACAAGGAAGTAGCTCCTGCCTTCCGGAAAGCCAAAGGGTTGGGAGACTTTGCCGAAGACCCTAAGAGATACTATGACCCTCGTCTCCGCAACAATCACTACGCCCGTAACCTGCTGTGGTTTGACTTTGGCCTCGACCACAATGCTAATTTCTCTTTGGCTTTGGCTCAGAGGGGTGAGGCCTTGGTCCGACGGACCTTTAAACTGATTCTGGTGTCCGAGTACTTTGACCAGTCCATGATTCTCCTGAGACACGCTCTCTGTTGGCCTCTAGACGCGGTAGTCTCCTTCAGCCTGAACGCTCGACAGCAGAGGCCCAGTGGCGGAATGGGTGGGAGCTGGGTGGGGAAAGCGGCGGCTGGGATTAAAGGTGGCAATTCACAAGCAAAGATTCCTCCAAACCTGTCTCTAACAGAGGATCAACGAGAAAAGCTGAGACAGTGGAATGCCTTAGACTGGTACCTCTACAAGGCCTTCAACAGGACCTTCTGGGAAGAAATCGACAGGTTTGGTCGGAGCCAGATGGAGCAGGAGGTCAGTCTTCTCCGAATGCGGAGGGAAGACCTGGCCCGGGTTTGTCTCAGAGATGGTGGGAAGCCTGTAGAGGCATACCGCATCCGGGACAAAAACATCCGGCCTTTCCAGAGCGGTTTAGTGAAAATTCTTGGGTACGAGCTCCAGCCTGGACTAGACAATGCTACTCGGATGTCCTGCATGAGGATGATCAGACCTGAGATCCAGTACAAAGACTTGTTGGATTCCAAACAGTTTCCTCAGGCTGCTGCGATCCAGGTGAAGCCCATCCAGCAGAGTGAGATCCTGATGGCAGTAGGCGGTGAAATGTTCTTAAGGCCAGATTCCTCCTGGAAGCGTGAAAAGGTGGTGAGCAGAGAGAGTGGGGGGAGGACTCTGGAGGAGGGGTTGAAAGACTGGGATGGTAGTCCTTTACTGAAGAGGAACCAGACGTTGGTTCGAGTGCATGAGAAGTTTAGATAGTGTGTCGGTGAGGGGTTGAAGTGATGGGTTTGTAAATGGTTCTTTTACCACTTTGCTTGTTTTTGAGGTACTGTAGCTGGTGTAGTCCTGGAATGTTTTTGTAGCTGATGCTGGAACTTTGTTTTTATAAGACCTCTAAATGTTGGACACAGCCTTGATATGTGTATGTGAACGCAGCCACAACATGGTGTAAATGTGAGGAAGTCATCAGCCACAGCATTAAAACCACTTTTGTACAAACTCGTTACCTGTCAGGGAAATTGTCTTCTGCCAGGTGGGTTCTGGCATAAATTACTATACTGAGAATATAGTTCAACATAAAAGTCCACATCCGGATTTGGCTCTAAAGGGGAAGCTAACCTGTTGAGCTGGTTCCCGATTCCTGTTAGTCAAATTCTGCTGAAGTACCGACAGGTAACTAAAACCCCTACGTAGGGCTCTGCAAACAGTTTTCATATGAAATCACAACAAATCTGGATGGAGACACAAATCCTCTGTAGACTCTCAGAATAAAGAAGCAGTCCAGAGAGTTTAGTGTTGATTCATGTTTACCACAAAGGAAGTAGTTCAGCTGACAGACGTGCAGTCTGATGCCATGTGACTGTGGTGGAGAGAAACCAAACAGGAACTCTGCTGGCTGCTGCTACTCACCTCACTCTACTTTATACACAAGTTGTCACAAAGCAACTCATCTAAATCCTTTCAAGTTCAGACTCCGTACACGGTTAGTGCATTTACACTTTAGTGGAAATAAATTCATTATAAAAAGCCACTTTTGTCAAATTTGCCCTGTAAAAACAAATCGAGAAGCTTGAAGCTTGGTGTCAACGCAGCCTTCCCACTCTGAGCAGCACAGCATGTGCCGACAGTGAGAAGGGAAACACTGAACGGGTAGTCACCTGCAGCAGACCCAGGGTCCAATCCCAAATCCTCGCGCTGCACTCTCCTGTGAAGTGCACAAAGGCGGTTTCGAGTACGTAGTACACAAGTGTGTTGAATTGGGACGGGGAGCTGCGACATCGACCACGGCGTATGCTGGGACACCGATCGCTGTTTGTGCTACTTTATAAACAACTTTCAAACAATTTTCCTCATTAAATATTAGTCTAAAACATTCAGAGCATGAATAAATATCAATCATCTTAAAATGAACAGCTACACTCACCTAAAGGATTATAGGAACACCACACTAATACGGTGTTTGACCCCCTTTCGCCTTCAGAACTGCATTAATTCTACGTGGCGTTGATTCAACAAGGTGCTGAAAGCATTCTTTAGAAATGTTGGCCCGTATTGATAGGACAGCATCTTGCAGTTGATGGAGATGTGTGGGATGTACTTCCAGGGCATGAAGCTCCCGTTCCACCTCATCTCAAAGATGCTCTATCGGGTTGAGATCTGGTGACTGTGGGGGCCGTAGTAGTACAGTCTAATTGGTTTCTTGAACATTGTCATGTTCAAGAAACCAATTTGAAGTGATTGGAGCTTTATGACATGGTGTATTATCCTGCTGGAAGTAGCCATCAGAGGATGGGTACATGGTGGTCATGAAGGGATGGACATGGTCAGAAACAATGCTCAGGAAGCCTGTGGCATTTAAACCATGCCCACTAAGGGGCCTTAAGTGTGCCAAGAAAACATCCCCCACACCATTACACCACCACCACCAGCCTGCACAGTGTTAACAAGGCATGATGGATCCATGTTCTTCTGTTTACGCCAAATTCTGACTCTGCCATTAGAATGTCTCAACAGAAATTCAGTCTTATAAGATCAGGCAACATTTTTCCAGTCTTCAACTGTCCAAGTTTGGTGAGCTTTTGCAAATTGTAGCCTATTTTTCCTATTTGTAGTGGAGATGAGTGGTACACGGTGGAGTCTTCTGCTGTTGTAGCCCATCCGCCTCAAGGTTGTGTGTGTTGTGGCTTCACAAATGCTTTGCTGCATTCCTCGGTTGTAACGAGTTGTTATTTCAGGCAAAGTTGCTCTTCTGTCAGCTTGAATCAGTCGGCCCCTTCTCCTCTGACCTCTAGCATCAACAAGGCATTTTTGCCCACAGGACTGCCGCATACTGGATGTTTTTCCCCTTTCACACCATTCTTTGTAAACCCTAGAGATGGTTGGGGGTGAAAATCCCAGTAACTGAGCAGATTGTGAAATACTCAGACCGGCCCATCTGATACCAACAACCACGCAACGCTCAAAATATCTTAAATCACCTTTCTTTCCCATTCTGACATTCAGTTTGGAGTTCAGGAGATGGTCTTGACCAGGACCACACCCCTAAATGCACTGAAGCAACTGCCGTGTGATTGGTTGACTAGATAACTGAGTTAAGGAGAAGTTGAACAGGTGTTCCTAATAATCTTCTAGGTGAGTGTATTTGAAAATACATATTTTCAGAAAAGGCACTTGAGTCATTGCTCCGCCTTCTTCTAAAAAGTACAGACAGCAATGGATTGTGGGTAACCCCCTTGCCCAAAGTCCACCTTGCCTCCATAGCCCAGACCAAAGGGTGTCCCGATTCTCAAATGTGGAAATTGACCACTCCCCCACTGCACCCTTAATCTGCACTTCACCCAGGTGATGCGGACCTCGGGCAAGGGCATTACCCACAAGTCATTACTGCAGGAGAAAAGGCTCAAGTTCCTTTTCTGAAAATATGTATTTTCTAATAAAATTAGCTGATTTTAGCACAATTAGTTTATGCTCTGAATGTTTCAGACAAAGCAGCAATGAAGTTAAATTTGTTTCAGATAATTGATTTGTTTGTTTGAACGTTGTTAAAGATTTTTGAAAAAAGTTTCATAGCGACCAGCATCCCGATCGATGAGGCAATGCTCCCTGTCTCAGTTTGGCAATTATTTGCACACTTGTGTACTACGCACTCGAACCCTACTGCACTTTCTCCGAGTGCACTTAGCTGAAGATCGCAGGGCGTGTATTAAGATTGGGCCCGTCGGTGTGCCCCAAGGCAGCTGTGGCTACATTGTAGCTCATCACGAATGTGTGTGAATGGATGAATGATGCTCTGTAGTGTAAAGTGCTTTGGAGTCCTCTGATTTATTTATCAATGCAGACTTGGGTGAAGACCAGTTCAAGGGTAAAAAATGGGTGTGGTCACCTTCCACACTTGAGAATTGGGACACCCTATGCAGTCGCACCCCTTGACAGGGTGTAATTTGAGTATTGTGACTGGGCCCAGGATAAAACAACTGGTCAAGAAAGACAAACTCAGTATGTCCTCAGTAGGCTACGGCATAACTAAAGGGATGAGCCAGGGTAACCCAAGCTAATCCTGTTAGAACATTTGTCAAAAGGAACGTCTGAAAGCGGACGTAGCTGCCTCATGGATGCTTCATGGTTCCACCAGAGAGGAGCTTGAGAACTGAAAGCTCTGCCTCATGTTCTTTTAGAAACTAGGAACTAAACTTCCTGAGAACCAGGTGCTCGCCTGGAAACATCTGGAACAAGTGTCTGATAGAAGGGGCTTGACGTTTCAGAGCTTTAGAGGTTAGAAGTCAACTTTTAAAATCAGTTCTGGATCTTACAGAAAGCTGATGAAGTGATGCTAAAACTGGAGAAATCTGATTTCCTCCCAACTCAGCAGCATTCTGGATCAGCTGTAGAACCTTTAGAACATCCAGAATTACAATTACACAATACACAGGGTATCTGCAGGTTTATGGGAGCCAAATTTAAGACTTAAGACCTTTTTTAAGGCCACTTTGACCAAATTTAAGCTTTTTTATTTTATTTTATTTCTGCTATAATTTCCAGCTATTGCCTGGGACCGGTGCTAACCACGTTGCAAACGTGGGATTAATCATCCAGTTACCATTAAACTTGCACTTCTCCACGGCACAAGCTCCCACTAGCTTAACCAGCTAATGTGCTCATCTAAAAATAGCCCCCTTTCACAACCAACTGAATGTGTAAGGTTCCGCTTACGCCAATATCATACACAAAAAATGCTGAAGACTAACTAGAAATTCACAAAAATGAATAAAATAATCTAGTTTACTGGGTCTTTGGTAATTTGAGACCTTTGGAAACTATTTAAGGATTATTTGTAATTTTTTAAGGATTTTCAAGGCCTTAAATTTGGAAAAGTAAATTTAAGACTTTTTAAGGACCCGCGGATACCCTGAATACAATAGTATGGAAATACTAAATGCATTGAAGTCTTTTTCTCTTTGGGTCAGAAAGATGCTCCCACTGCAGAATACCCGTGGACAGGTGAGGAGGTACAGAAATCCTTGCGCTGGTTCAAATTACGCTGAATATTAAGTTTAACTATTTAAATTCAGACCAGTTTTATTCCATTCAAAACAACATCAGACTTTCATTAGTTTTTCTGTAACACTTCCTCTATCGGTAATTTGATCAGTTTAAGGTTATTTCAGTGATGGGTGTGGGTCTCTTATGGGCTCGGTACCCACACCTACCATAGAGATCTGTAACTGAAGAACACAGGAAGTATTCAACTCTTCTTGTATTTTATTGTCTAATAAACACTTCAAGCATCAATAACAACACTGAAAGTAAACAGCGGCACTTCCCGAGGTCACAGAGGTTGAGCAGCCATTTTCTTTTGTTGGCGAGCAGCTCCAGACTTGTTTTTGGCTTTCAGCTTTAGACAATGACGGGAAAACCTTTTATCCACAGTCTGGCTTTTGGGCCTATAACGAAACACACACACACACGATAGGATGTGAAAGAATTCCAGGTGGAAACGCCGTTAACAGACCCACCTCCTCTCTCACTTGTTCTTGTGAGCGTCTTTAACGGGGCAGAACTTCCGTTTGTGGTCCAAGCCTCCGCAGCTGAAGCGGCCCTGCTGGTTCTGGCCACGCCCACACGGGTGGTCCGGGAGGGCACAGCGGCCACAGGAGCCACAGTGTTTCCAGGCTTCAGGAGGAAGAGTGAATTATTTCACACATTCAGTAGAACAAAGGTTTGTGACGCAGCTCGTTCACTCACATGATTTCACACACTTCTCACACGATGAGCAGTGCTTCCATTCACATCCGTTCTGGGGTCACAGAGAGAAAAAAACAGACGTTAATGTTTGAAAAAGCTAACAGAGTAAACCTTGTGGAGCGGTGCGGCACCTTGGAGGGGCAGCGGTTGCACTCGGAGCAGTGTTTGTTCAGAGAACTCACGTATCTCTGACACGCAGCGCAGAACCTGACAGACACATCCAACTATTTAACACCAACACACACACACCAGCGCTTCTCATGGCAATGGGACAAAAACAGCTTTCAATGCGTTTATATCTAAACCTTCCTCTTAGAAGGAACACCATTCAAGATTTACAACAGAAAAATATGATTATGGTTGATGTTCATTCTGTGGTTTGGCCTGTTAGTTTGGAGCTGATGGAGAGAGACTTCTGGTACCTGTAGCCCTCCTCCTGGGGCAGAATGATGCATCTGGATGAAATATTGGTGAAAAGCCTGACTGGAGACTGCCTCCTGCCCGTCTTCCCATGTTTATACAGAGGATGGTTGTCATAATCCACCTGGTTGGATTCAAGAACAGAGCAAGAGACGACTTGTTGAGGTTAACTCCCCCTGGCGCTTAGGTGGTGCCTCAGATGGTTGAGAAGACGCTCATCCATCTTGAGTGGAGGTTTCTCTTCAGGTTTATCCACCAATCAGGTTCCAGTACTAAACCAGAGCCAGGACCTTATAAGCATTCTCTGTTTTCCTTTAAAATCTCTGAGTTAGTTTCACGTTAACTTTTGAGAAGTTGAGTAGGATGAACATTTCCCATCATCTTCCTGCAGTTTGTGTTTTTAATCTCCTGTTAAAGTGGGTCAGGATTGCCCTCAGAGCGGGACAACGTGGGAAAGGTGAGTGATCACGGTTCTAGAGTTGTGGCTGAGTCAGAGCCGCTCAGACTAAAGCACCACGAGGAAGCTCTCTTCCAAACCAATACTTCAAATTAGCAGATCAGCTTTAGTTATAAAGCAGCAAACAGGTATTTGAAGCTGGAGAAGGGCTGGATGATAAAGAAAAATCATTTTGATTGATATCAATAATTATTGATAAACGTTAAAGGGGCATTATGAAAGTTTGACAGCCAAAACACATATTGGAATAATAAATTTCTTCTTCATACATTCTCCTGCAATGCCCTTGTCCTGTAGAATGAGCCCTGGCATTTTTACTGTGATTGCCTGTTTTTCTGTAAAAACACAGAAAAAAAGAGCTGCTCGGGTCGAGCAGGCTGCTTCACACGCGTTCACGCTCAGGCATCGCCCGTAGCAGGCGTAGCCCGTTTGCTATTCGTAGCTTTAGCAGCAGAGAGAGAGGCAGTGCCACTTTGTCGCTGTTCCTAACGCCTAGTGACAAAGCTAGCTACATTTATGAGGACCCTTAGCTACTTTCTGTAGAACTTTCTTCTAAATATTTCCTGCAAATTAGCAACAAAATAGCCAATTTCGCTCCGAACCGTTCTTTGAACGTTGTTTCAGCTGTCATCAAGGATATAAACGTTACAGATGTAAAGGACGTCAGTGGTACTTTGGCTCACCTAGTTAGACGTCTGATTCCCGTGCAGGAGTCCTGGGTTCGATTCCGGATGTGAACATAGTTTATTTAGTTTTTTTTTACATTAATGGTATATTTTTTTACAGTAAGAGGCCCAAATCTTATTTGTGACTCGCCGAAAGGCGTTGAATTCACAGATAAAAAAGATGTGGGTTCAACTTTCATTCTGGAACAATTTTTCAAGCAAGGGAAGGGAATGATCTGAGCATGCCAGAGGACTGACCCATCTTAAACCTTTGACGGCTGTGCTGAAGAGAAAGGTACAGAACCAAATTATTTAATTAATTAGCTGCACGTTCTCCTGTCCTCTGTCCCCCCCCCCCCCCCCCCCCCCCCACACACACACAGTCTCAGCTGTTATTTTCGTTAAGGAGTGTGCACGTACAGCATGCGCGCCTCGTGCACGAGCCTACCATTGAAGCTGCAGTTACACTTTTGGCCTGAGGGGGCAGTCGCGAGCATAAAAATTCAAAACTCTGTGAAGTCCCTTTAACAAAACCTGAATGACAGCTTTTTAATGCCATGAACAACGAGGTGCTTTACTAAATTGCTAGTTTCTCTACATTTAGTGACACAAATCTTAACCTAGACACCACATTTAGCTCTGCTGCTGTTTACCTTCACAACATGCAGCCAAACCTTTGCTTGTTTTGGTCTTTTACTTAGTCTGCAGACTCAGAGAAAAGTGGCTTTAAAACACTAAACCTGACACATGGTTACGGATTCCTGCTGGTACCTGGTAGTCCAACATGGACAAAGAGGGGAGACACTCCAGAATTCGTGGCTCAAAGAAGTATGGGAAGATCCAAATGATGGGCATCTCTGTGGGACCGTCTTCTGGAGAGATGCCAAAGTCAAACAGAAGAGAGAGGTCAGAGCTGTTCTCTTCTGCTAGAGGAGCTTCAACACATCAGTTTCTGCTCCATCTATCAACTCAACTTTATCTGATAAAGCAGATGAAAAAGTACATTTCCTGCATAGAGTGGTGTTGCAAGAATAATGTGATCAGAGCTCCTGACCAGAGTCCTGCTGATCCTTCCATGTCTGAGAAATCAGAGAGAAGCTGTTGGCCAGAGGCTTCACCAGACCACCGAATGGAGGGTCAGCCACCATCACCACCTTCTCCTCACCCACCTCCTTAAGGAAAGACTTCAGCACAGCAGAGGAAGCCTGAGAAGAAAGCAAAAGAGTCAGAGACTTACACACCACACTAGAAAGTTCCTGAGGAGAAGCTGAAGGGCATTGGTGCAGCTCAGTGGAACATCCTCAGAGGCTTACCCCCCCTCGAAAAGTACTAATTTAATCAGCAGCTCAATGAACAAGATGAATTTCCAGAATTTTCACAAGGCTGGGTTTCATCTCACATTTCAAAGCAGTTAAGTTTAAGGTTAATAATATAATTTAGATCACAAAATCTTCAGTTTTACTAAAATTAACTGAAGCAAAAATAAAAACACCCCACAACAAAAACAACTACATGTTGTATTTTGTATGACCACTGTGATTTTCGAGGACAGCACCAAGTCTTCTAGGCATGGAAGGAACAAGATGGCGACATGTTGCAACATCGATCTTTTTCCATTCTTCAAGAAGAACCTCTTTTAGAGCTTGGATGCTGGATGGAGAGTGATGCTTCAGAATTCCCCACAGGTGTTGGATGGGGTCCAGATCAGGAGACAGACTTGTCCACCTTCACCCTGTTCTTCAGAAATGCAATGGTAGCTTTAGATGTGTGTTCTGGATCGTTGTCGTGTCGGAAAAGTGCACGACCACGTGCACGGAGTGCTGGCAGCATCTCCTTCAGCATAGAGCAGTACATTGTTGAGTTCATGACACCATCAATGAAATGCAGCTCCCCAACAGCAGCAGCACTCATGCAGCCCCACATAAGGACACTGCCACCACCATGCTTCACTGTGGGCACCATGCATTTCTCTTTGACATCCTCACCTTCACGTTGCTGTACAGTTTTGAAACCATTAGTTCCAAAAAGAGTGATCTTTGGCTCATCACTCCAGAGTCTAGAGTCCCAGTAGTCTTCATCTCTTTCAGCATGGGCCCCAGAACATCCTAGGTGTGCTTTTTTGTGTGCGAGCTTTAGGAGAGGCTTCCATCGTGGACGATACCCATGCATGCCATTCCTCTGCAGCGTGTACCGTATGATGTCACAGGAAACGGTCACTCCAGTTTGGCTTTCTGCTGCTTTAGCTAACTGCAGTGTTCTTGCATGGAGATTTTCTTCAACCCTTCTCATCAGAAGACGCTCCTGTTGAGATGTTAACTTCTGTGGACGGCCTGGACGTCTCTGTAAGATGGTTTCACTTCCAGCGTTCATCGACTGGTATGTAAAGCTGTGCTGATCTTCTTGTAGCTCTCACCTTTTAATGTAAAGAAATGATTTCCTTTCTCAGATGCTGTGGCATTTCTCTACCATGAGGAGCCACTGCTGACAGCATGAGGGGCTTTTCTTTGTTAAGTAATCCCATTTTATAGTCACCTGTCTGCTGGACCTGTTAAATGAACCATTAGACTCACCTGAATGCATGTTAATTAGAATTTTGTAGTCTTAAGTGTGGCTTTTCTCCTAAGACTATAATTGGGGTGTTCTCATTTTTGCAACACAAACGAATGAATTTGTTAGGAAAATCACTTTTTGTGTAAATGAACAAATCTTGTTTGTAATCAACGGCCCACATTTGTAGGAGTATTTTGTAGAATGGTATCTCCTGGAAAATGTTGATTCTGAAAGGAAACTAAAGGTTTTCTGACTAATGTAGCGGGGTGTACTCATGTATGAGGAGTGCTGAACGTCTGAGCTGTAATGTGTGGGAACCAGAAGAGTTCTTTCCTGTGACCCATTTAACCAGTAAACGGTGTTTTCACTGTGACATCACCTCAGGAAGCAGGTAAACGCCAAAACTGGTGTATTGGCAAAGAGTCAGAAAAACCACAGAGAGCAGCAGCATGAACCGGAAGGTCAGGGAGGTGTGTGTGTGTGTGTGTGTGGGGGGGGGGGGGGGGGGGGGGTGGGTGTTTAAACGGAGGGATGGAGATTAGACAGATACAGGTGAGCCGATTAACAAGCAGGCCGGCGCTGAGGGATCATGACTAAAGGGAGCAGGGTTTCCTTACCCGCCTCACGTTCTCTACACATTTCTTGGAGTTGGAGCTTTGTCTCCATCAAACTGCCATCATGAATCCTAGCAGGATGTTGCTAAGTGACCAGTGTGTTTATATCTGCAGCTGGAACTCCTACCTCTCCACCAAAGAAGTGATGGTTGAACATGTTGTAGTGGCAGAACTCATTTTGACTGTAGAACTGGGCATATCTGAAACACACACACACACACACACACACACACACACACACACACACACACACACACACACACACACACACACACACACACACACACACACACACACACACACACACACACACACACACACACACACACACACACACACACACACTATTATTAGGCAATTGATATGATGTGCCTTTGAGCAGGATTTGAGAGCAAGTTTGAACATGGTCTCTCTCTCCCTCTCACACTCACTCACACACACACACACACACACACACACACACACACACACACACACACACACACACACACACACACACACACACACACACACACACACACACACACACACACACCTACAGGCAGCATCCTGTACCATAGGGAACACACCCTCTCCACACATTCTTAGACAGACAGGAGCAGAGCAACAACAGCAGACGGCTGCAGAGAGCTGCGGTAAGAACGGATTATTTTGCTTTGCCAGGTTTAGTTTCCCTGCATGGCACCAGGTTTTAAGATTCGTTAGCAGCAGCTTGTTGCATCTGGATTTGTGCAATCTTTGGTCAGACAGGATCCCAAAACTTAACAGAACAGCTGTTGAATGAAAGCTGTGGCACAAACAGCCAGCTGTACCCGACCCAGCAGGAACCAGAGGAACAGGTTTGAAAACTAAAGAGACTTTAGAGAATGATAACATTCCTCTTAACAGACGTCTGACCTGCATTATGTTTGATCCTTATGACAGTGTGTGAGGAATGGCAGACAGAAAGCTCCTTTCTGTTGCTGATGGCCTGCCAACAGCAGCTCAGCCCCCAGCGCCCTCTGTTGGTATAAGTGGCTTACTGCACGACGAGATGAGCTTCACACCTCTGGACTCCAGCAGTGGTGGAGTTGTCCAACCATTCCAACGTTCACCTAAACTCCAGAGGAAGGCAGCCAAACACGCACCCCCCTCTCAGGTACACCTGTCTGTCCTTCAAACCAGTCATTCTCTAAAGCAGCGCTGAAGCCGCTATAGACGGGCCGGTATCAGCGTGATAGCTCCGTCACTGACATGTGGTGATAATGGGCCTCCAACAGGAGCAGCTATCCAGACAAATGGAGGAGCTGAGAGCTGAGAGGACCAAGACTGAAGCCCACATCCAGTCTCTGAAGAAACGCAAAGCAGATCTCACTGTGAGTCCTGAAGCCTCAGCAGACTGCTGTCAGACCAGTGCATCTGGTAGAAGTTACACATTTATGCTCTTCTAGATGGTTTCCTGAAGGCAGGGTATCTGCAGGTTTAAGGGAGCCAAATTTAAGACTTTTTAAGACCTTTTTTAAGGCCACTTTGACCAAATTTAAGCTGTTTTTAAAATTAAATTTAAGCTGTAATTTCCAGCTATTGCCTGAAACCGGTGCTAACCACGTCGCGAACGTGGGATTAACCATCCAGTTACCATTAAACTTGCACTTCCCCATGGCGCAAGCTCCCACTAGCTTAACCAGCTAATGTGCTCATCTAAAAAGAGCCCCCTTTCACAACCAACTGAATGTGTACAGTTCCACTTACGCCAACATCGTACACAAAAAAGGCTGAACACTAACTAGAAATTCACGAAAATTTTATAGAAATAAAATAATCTTGTTTATTGGGTCTTTGGTAATTTAAGACCTTTGGAAACTGAATTTAAGGATTATTTGTCATTTTTAAGGATTTTTAAGGCCTTAAATTTGGAAAAGCAAATTTAAGACTTTTTAAGGACCCGCAGATACCCTGTGAAGGGCCTCTGCTCAGGGAAATAGTAATTATCCTTCTGGCTGTTCGGGAATCTTCCGACAACGAGAATCATAGTGAAGATCTATAACTGGATCAGAGAAATGCCGCTGAAAATGTTCAACTTCATCCTGTAAAGAAACCTTCATCTGTGCTCTGAAAGGCTCTTTCTGCTCCCCCCTGTAGCGGACCATGGAGGCGATGAAGCAGCAGGTCAGAGAGCACTATGAGAACATGCACTGCACTCTAAAGCAGGATGAGCAAGCAGTCCTGGACGCCCTGGAGCTAGACCTGAGAAGGACAAGGACCAGGATGGACCAGGTTCTAAAGAACTGGATGAACCATCAAGAACAGGTCACCAAGAGCATCAGCATCACACAGGGAGCACTGGGCAAGCAGCTCACAGTGGAGGTCAGGAAGGTCTGCTCCTTATTGGGTTTGAATCAGCGTGAGTCAGGGTTTCTCACTGATGTTTTGTTTCTGCTAATCTTTTTCTGAAGGGACACTCGGACGTGGTCAGGTAAAGTGCTGCATTAGACCCAAGGCTGTCAGCTGTAGCCCAGCACTCTAAATCGTTCTATACTTTCACCCCCAGTCCTAAGAGACCAGACGCCTCTGAGAAGGACATCAGACTCAACGATGTGAGATTTGAAAAACTTCTAAAAACCCTCTCGGTCATCTCCAAAACCCTGAGAGCACAGCTGCAGAGGAAGACTCTCCTGCTAGGTACCAGAAAACTGCTTCTGCTAATTAGGAAAGGCAACTTTTATTTATTTATTTAATGGGGGGGGGGTAGCAACAAATCATACGCCCCGCTGTTGGACAGTACTCACACAGTAGCTTCTGAAATGGGACATTTGTGGAGGTTCTAAATCTCCTTGAGTACCAACCTCCTCGTTGATCACATTAGCAACGTTTGCACGACGTAAGTGGTGAAGTCACCGTGCGTCTCAGGAACTCTTCTCTATAACGGTCCAGCGAGACAGGAAGAGCAAACATTGGGAAGAAATTCCAACAAGAAACGTCACATGACTTCACGATTAATTCATAATTAAAGTCACGAGTCCCGCGTGAGCCGGTCATGTGCCGCTCAAGTGTCGTCTAATCCAGTTCCTGTGCTTCCAGCTGGGAGTGTGCTCGTCTCCAGACTTACGGCACTTTTGAGCTGCATGTATCAAACATTCCTTCATCGCTATGTTGGTAAAACGTCGGCCACTGGGACAGCGATAGAAACACTTACTGGAATTCACTGAATCTTAAAGCAAAACTAAAGGCCTTTAACACTTTAAGCTACTGTTTTCAAACTGGTTTCAGCAGTTCTCGAGCCAGAAATCTGAGCAGCTTCATAGGGGACAAGACCCTGCCGACCAAAAACTGCACTTAACAGTTTTGTGGGTCAGCACAAGTGTGAGGTCTGAAATAAGAGAGTAATGTTTGTGGAGGCGAAGCAAAAAAAAAAAAAGCGTGAACTAAACTGAGAGCTATAACCAGAGTGAAGATCAGCGTGGCCCACACTCGCTGGTTTAAGTTTAAAACCATCTAAAAAAGTAGAAACGTCCTTTTTTCCCTCATTCTTGCTCTACCAAATACACAAACTACACCGTCTCCGACAGCGTTTCAGCAAAGCAAGGTTGTTTATGATCGTTGTAATTCTGTCTTCGGCCAGTGGGGGGACCGGGACATTCACTAAGAAATGAAAATAGGACAAAGCAGAACTATTCAGAAAAAAAGTGTTTTATTAAAAACATCCTGTTGTTGGTTTATTTAAGCCATAGTTACCCCAGGAGCCAGGCGGGACCCCAGGAACCCTCCGAGTTGGGTACCCTGGTACTCTGATTTATGCCGATGAAAGCGTTTTCGCTCTCAGGAGCGTTTTATTCATCTGACTTAATAAGATCTGTTGTGTTTTTAACGGTTGTGATGCTTTTGACAGGTTTCCCAACAGCCCTAACCTGTGGACTCTGTCTTGATGCAGATTCCTCCCCCACTGTGATTGACAGGCAGACATGCCACACCCAGATCAAAGTGATCTCAGAGGGGCGGGGCCTGTCATTCTCCAGCGCTCCCTGCTCGGCTCCAGAGCATCCCCTCCAGTTTGATAAGGTATGTTGTGCTCTGGGCTCGACTCCAATCACTGCAGGTCAGTGTTACTGGGAGGTCAACGTGGGCTGCTGCTCAGCCTGGGCTGTGGGCGTGGCTTACGGCAGCCTCCACAGGAAGGGACGGGACAAGGGCGCCAAGTTGGGCCGGAACAGGAACTCCTGGTGTGTCGAACTGAAGAACAGGAATCTGAGGGCATGGCACAACGACCGGCACGTGGACTGTCGGGGTGCAGGTCAGAGTCCACCGCAATCACTAGGAGTGTGGGTGAATTACGATAAGGGTCAGCTGCTGTTCTATGATGCAAACACGATGGCTGTCCTGCAGAGATTCTCAGCAGCCATGACTCCAGTGTTCGACAGGGCTCATCACCAGTTCACCGAGCCCTTGTATCCGGCCATTCGCTTCCTAAAACCAGCGGAGAACCAGGAGTGGCCGAGCCACCTGGAGTTCTGTCACTTCCACTCAGTGTAGAGCAGCTTAGGTGTTGCCTTAGTGATTTCTATAAACCCATCCATGCTGGATGGGTACAGGGCACAGAGGCCAGCGAGTGGTTTGATGATTTGAAGCAGTGTGTCCTGTCTGAACCAGTTTTAATGTGACTGTAAGTTTGCTTCCAGATGTGTGCATCTAAGACACGAACATGCCTGGTGCTCATATCCTGATATCTGGTTGATTTCAGGATGTAGAAACCAGAACCCTGTACGCCTAACAGTTGACTGAGTTTGGTCTGTGCAGAAGCTTCTGGTTCATCCTCGAGTCAACGTGATGGTTCTGTTTCAGATGTGGTCTTACAGCGGCTGTTAGTAATGTCCTGATGTGTGACGCAAAAACGCAACATAAAGGTAACGTCTGTAATTCTAGAGGAATAACAACTGAAGAGTTGGGCCAAGAGTGAAGAAGGGGCCTTTAAGTGGCTTCTTACACGTTTATATCAGACAAACACCCAACTCTGGTCCCTGATTGGTCCTAATCCTATCCTCCAGCCCACCAAAAAACACGGAAAGATCATAATATTTAGTGTAAATATTTAAAAACACTGTAGTTTTTTCACTGAGAGTTTGCAAACATTTACTGTATTTCTTTTGGGTGGTGTAATTCAAACTCCCACCGCTAGGTGGCAGCGGTTTTTAATGCCTCGATTGTGACAAAACAAGATCTCACGATACACCAGATGTGTCTTGGAAACCTCATGAGTGTGTTTTACAATTAAGTTTAGTCTTAAGAATTGATCATAGCATCCAGTATTTACTATTATATATATGTGTGTGTGTGTGTGTGTATGATTATTGCCAATACACACTCCTAATAAATAATTTTAGATGTTAAACATTTCATTTCCTATAATATTGATGTTAGTAATACGTTTCTGCCATTTTTAAGTGTTTCTGTGTAAACGTTATAATTACCACCACATCTGTATAAAATATAATTTGCATGAATTTCTATGACACGTAGAAGCTGTTTGGAAACACTAAACACAAGAATGATAAAAATGTAGAGGTTACCTGAGGTCGATGTCCAGTAGCAGGCTCTTCATAGACCCGCTCTTCTGCAGCTTGATGAGCTCCTGCAGCCTGTTAATAAGCAGCAATTAAAACAGATGTAGATACATGTTATCGGTGTTTAACTTTGTAAAATTAAAACTAATAAAAGCATTATGGTGTGTTGTTTATTTTTCATCACCTACTGGTAAATCATGTTTTTACAAAGCAAAGTGATTTAGTGAAACAAGGCAGATTGTGAACGGATGACTGAGACGTTTCAGGGAAATTTGGTCCAAGATGATCCCAACAAACATGGAAGCTTTTCCCTAATAGCCAGGATGGTGGCAGCATTTCTCAGCCTGGGCTTTAGCATCCTCACACACAGGAAAAGGGCCAGAAACAGAAGGATGGTTCAGATGAACTAAAAGCGAGTTCCTAATGGGCAGTCACCATAGCAACCACAGATGACTGCCAGGGTCTGGTGGGAGTGAGCTTTAAGGTCTGAATGACTTGTTTCTGATTAAGAATAAAATGTTTTTGGACACATTCTGATTGCTGCTTGCGCCACCAACCAGCTGATTTCGATTTGATCTAATAAAGGAGGTGGGTCAAGTGTCTAGCCCAAGGACACAACTGCGACAGACTGAGCGGGGCTCAAACCTGCAACCTTCCGATTATGGGGCGGGCACTTAACTTCTGAGCCACTGTCCCCGCCGATAATAACTTGTGGTAGAAACAAACCGGTTAACATAAGGGTCTTAAAGGCAAGCTCTTGTTTCAGCAGAGCTATGAGGGGATTCTGAGTTCCTCTGGAGGTCGCCCACATCCATCCCTTAAAGCAGCAATCCTGAAATCCCTCCTTCAGGATTTATGTATGATATATATTTTTTTAGAAATCTACAAAAGTACAGTCTTCCCCTAACGGTGTTCTTTTTTAGGTAACGGAATAATCTAATTAATTACTTTTCCCACTGTTGCAACATCGTTACCGTTACTGGGGACGGAAGGTTGTGCGTTACTATGTGCTTGTCGAACGTTGAGCAACAGCGTGAGGCTTTCTGACCGCCACACTTCAGCTGCAGCCAGGGAGAGAGAGGTGTCGGTAATGCACTTACAAACACGATGATGATTGGCCGGGTGGGCGGAGACCCTCAGTGTTCTCACTGTCACCGCATGCTGTAGACCCAACATAGCAGTGATGGGAATAACGCCGTTTAAAATAACCACGTTGATAAAAAAATATTTCTTTCTGTAACGAGCAAACTAATTAATTACCAACTTCTTTTAACAAAACGTTGTTTCTGTTACTGATAAGGAAAAACGTGCGTTAAGCAGCACGGTGTGTTGAAGCTGTCATCAGCTGATCAGGAGCTAAAGAGGCAGATGTTTTCATCCAAGCGCATCACGGCCGTGAAGAACGAGGAAGACGGGATGAATATCTACGGCTGCAGGTGTGGATCTGCAGCCGTGCCCTTCTTGGCGTGACAGCGGGACGTCCCGAAGGTCCGCTCACCTGTTCACTGCTCAGACGTCCTGATCTTCTACCTTCCTAGATCATCCAGCTGTAACCTGTTTCTGATCGTGTCTTTAGTCCCGCTGTAACACTGATGCATCAGTCTTAGACGTCATGGAGCTCAGGTGTTATTAGAACTACCTGTGTGTGTTTACCACCCAGCTTCAGCTCTTCTGTGGTTGGGTCTGACCCACGTTAGTAAATGTAAGTCCTCCATCAGGCTTGTGCCTCTTCTAGTGTCATTTTAAAGGATTTTATTTATTTATTTAACCGTTACTAGATTACCAGCAACAGAAATGCTGCTAATAACACACAATAATGTGAAGCTGGAAAAATTAGAATACTGTGCAAAATTGCATTCATTTCTGTAATTTAACTAGACTGAGAGACCATCTAAAGGCTCGGGAACCTTTACAGGTGTTTCTATTTGCAATTTTAAATTTTAGCTGATTGGGGTCTTGTTAAATATCACACAGTGACCTTTTAATAGTCTAGATAAGTGTAATGTTCCTGTTAGTAGTTCCTCCTGTTAAGTGCTTATTTATTTAAATTATTCAGGTTTAAAAAAAACATTTGGACATACATTTTATTATGTTCCAGTCATTAGTCATTTATATTTCACTATTGTAGTAATTCTTGCATGCTTTAATGAAAAAAGTAACTAAGTAGTTATTTTTCTTGGTAATTAGTTACTTTTATAATCTTGTAACTCAGTTAGTAACTGAGTTACTTTTTTGACAAAGTAATCAGTAACTATAACTAATTACTTTTTAAAAGTAACGTTCCCAACACTGGTCACAACCCTGGTGTGAAACCATAAACTCCACCCATCTCACCTGGGCGTGCCAACACAGAGAACCTTTGTGTAGCCCAGACTAGCTAGGGAATCCAGCAGGAAGTTTGCGCTGCGATCGGTGAACAGATACTGGGCGTTGCTCTTCTTGTTGTCCAGTGGACGCAGCAGCAAGCTGGGCCTTCTAAGCTGGGCCGCGGTGACAGCTGTGGTTCTGTGGGCTGAGTGAGCGCCATGCTCTGCAGGCAGGAGCAGCATTTGACAGTCGTCACAGAACTTCTTCTCATGATGAAGGACAGAGGCCAACTCCTCAAACCTGAGGGACACATCAGAACACATGTGGAAGGTCTGTTGACACTGTCAAAGGAAAAGACAGCAGAGGCGTCTCAGTCCTTCACCTGTTTCTGTACTCCTGCTGCTTTAACCGGTTTACCTCCTCTCTAGCCCGCAGTCTGGCTTCTGAAACCTTCCAGCAAACACACGGATTAACCAACATTTCCTGTCACTGATGGAAACCCAGAGGGCTCACCTTTTCATCTTCCCACTGAAAGAAGCTGCAGTCCTTCCTGTCCCGACAGGCTGAGCATGCGTAGAACCGTCTTCCCCCCCTGCCCTTCTCAAAGAGCAAAGTCGGACCTGATCAAACATATGCAAACACTCTCAACACCAGAAGGTGATGAGCTAAGGCTCCATTACCATGGTGACCTAGCCTCCCTGATCCTGGAACAGGGCACAGCACGCGAGTAAATGGCAGACAGACCATCTTCAGTGCTAAATCCATTTTGGGTGAACTTCCTCTCCACGTCAACACTTTTATGCTAAACTGAATGCCGACTTTATCACAGTTCAGCTAACTAAGACGTGTATTATATTTACGTTAACAAGCTCAGCATTTAAGGATAATGAACCGAATTTGGTGTGAGACTCACCGTGCGGACAACATGGCGCTGCTAAACCTCCTTCAGGACAAACGACTTCTGTTCCAAGAGTCTCGGGGTTCTCCATAACTAACTCAGGTAACTAATGTGACATCAAAAACAACACCGTCAGAGCCATGCTGCTTCCTGTCGCGTAGATTTTACGTGATGACGTTTCTTTTAGAACTACATGTCCCATAAATCCCTGCACGCCAGTGCAGCGACTACTCCGCTTGAGGACTACAGGGTCTGCTGGATGCTGTAGCTACTACGCAAGTGTTTTTTGACACGACACCAGAAGCGAGGGAAACGTCCCTTCAGAACAAAATATATGTTTAAAAATATTACTTTATTAAACAAACAAAAGCTGTACAAATAAATTAACAAAACTTATATTCTATAAAGAATATTCAAACACTATTAAAATAGCAACATAGTAAAACTGACTAATGAAAACTGAAATCCATAATAACAACAAAATTAAATAAATAAAAAGAAATAAATAAAGAAATACCCACAATATAGTCTGCTTATAAGATAAAATAAAATTTCTTAAGAGAATTGAAAGCTTTCCAATATTTCTGATTGTCTACATTGCTACAAGCAATAGAAACAAAATAAATATTCAGATCAGTTTCTTTGAAGTTAGAAAACGACAAAGATTTAGTATTCCATTTTGATTTATGTAGATAATATTTTGCTAATATAATAAACTAATTTACAACATATATTTCCTATGTTGATAAAAAAGAACTATGAAAACAAAATAATATGAGTTTTTGTGAGTGTAATGTCCATCAGTTTTGGCTGAAAGAAACCGTTGTAAATCCGACCAAAACCTTATCACTTTGAAGCATTCAAATAAAACATGTTCAATACTTTCAGAGTAAAATATTGAATCCAACAAAACTATTTAAAATAGCTAAAATAAATAACACATTTTTGGTTTCATAATTCATTTTGCTTTTGTCTACAATGTCCAAATGAACTATCGGTCACTTATACAGTGGGGCAAAAAAGTATTTAGTAAGCCACCAACCAACTGTGCAAGTCCTCCCACTTCATTGCTGAGAGAGGCCTGTAATTTTCATCAAAGGTATTCTTCAACTATGAGAAACCAAATGAGAAATACATTTCAGAATTTCACATTGTCTGATTTTCAAAGGAATTATTTGCAAATTATGGTGAAAAAAAAGTATTTTGTCTCCTACAAACAAGAAATGTTTCTGGCTCTTACAGACCTGTAACTTCTTCTGTAGGAGAATCCTCTGTCCTTCACTTGTTACTTGTTTTAATGGCACTTGTTTGAACTTGTTATCAGTATAAAAGACACCTGTCCACAACCTCATACAGTCACACTCCAAACTCCACTATGGCCAAGACCAAAAGCTATCAAAGGACACCAGAAACAAAACTGTTGACCAGTTGACGTCAGCGGCTCCCCATCCCCACTGTAAACAGTGTGAGCGAGTGGCTGCCATCCTCTCCTAAGGAGCCGGACAGTTTGCCAGAACCTCTTTGGAGCCAATTGATAGTCTCTTTGCATATCCTCTCCAAACTCCTCCCACACCCATGCTTTTGCCTCAGAAACTGCCACTCCTGCCACCCGCTTGGACCTCCGGTTCCTGTCTTCTGCTTCTGGAGACCCACAGACCAGCCATGACCTGTTGGCCTCCTTCTTCAGCCTGATGGCTCCTCTAACCTCTGGTGTCCACCAGCGGGTACGGGGGTTGACCGCCACGACTGGCACTGGCCACCTTGAGACCACAGCTAGCAACAGCCGCCTTAACAATCGCAGAGCGGAACAAAGCCCATTCGGACTCAATGTCCCCTACTACTTTCAAGACACGGTCAAAGCTCTGCCGGAGGTGGGAATTGAAGACCATCTTGACCGGTTCTTCTGCCAGCTGTTCCCAGCAAACCCTCACTATATGTTTGGTTCGGCCAGGTCTGCACTGCATCCTCCTCTCCCATCTGATCCATCTTACCACCAGGTGGTGATCAGTTGACGGCCCTGCTCCTCTCTTCACCCAAGTGTCCAAAACACATGGCCACAGGACAGATGATACGACTACAAAGTTGATCATTGACTTGTAACCTAGGCTGCCTTGGTACCAAGTATATCGATGGGCATCCTTATGTTCAAACATGGTGTTCGTTATGGCCAAACTACGTTTTACACAGATTTCCAGTAACAAAACACCCATCATTAGGGCACTCAAACTCCTCCACCATGATAAGGTGATGGTTCAAGGAGGGGTGGGGAAGACCATGGAACAAGGATGGAAAAACGGTGAACTCAGCATGGACATGGCACAGATCATGCAAATATAAACACAAATATCCCGCCCAGTCCAAACTGAGCTGACCAAGATGTAAATGCAGTGCTTAAAGTTATAACTTCAAGGGAACTTTTGTGGATTTATTAGGGATTTATGTAAAGAATGGATGGACCTATAAAGACACTGTTTGATGATGGCCAGGAAAACACGAGTAGACAGATGGTAGCAGAACACAAAAGGGTTTTTAGGATGGCCAAGTTACACAGTGAACACACTATTATTCAGATTTTTTTTCGTCACAAATGCTCAATTGAAAGACATTTTTCATGTCCTTGTCAACCTCTGATGAGAACCTTTATTTTGAAAGTACATAACGGAAGCTCTGTTGTTCTTTGAGTCCAGCCTGACCGGTCTTGCTCCGCCGTGCGCCCACACCCAACCTGCACCGTCTGCTGTTCGGAGTCAGCGCTGCTCTGCAGTGTTTGTGGAAACATCAGTGCGACCTCAGCAGCTCGAAACAGCCAGAAGATCAACCCCCAAACACCAGTTTTACAACCACCCATCACCGTGCGGCAGCTGCGGCTGCAGGCATCATCCATGAGCTGTCAGTGTGGATAGTGACATGTTTACTGAGCATCATCTGACTGTAGAGGACATCTGACTGGTACCATGAGCAGCACGGGTAAGACCAATCGGTTATTGATTGGAGATAATTTTACTGTTGATAATTTATTTGTTCAAGATAAAATATTATTATAAAACATAGAGACGCTCTATGATCCATCAGCGTTGTTAAACAACACTGCGTCTGTTGCTGTTTATCGTTTTTCATGTCACGTGACCTCATTACAATATAACTATAATTGAGTGCAGTGTTCAGCCTGATGAGGCTGATTAAGATGGACCCAGAGCATTTAGCTCTGGTTTAGTAGGACTCGGGCTCAGATACGCTCCGTGGAAAACAACCATATGAGCTAATTAGACAGGAAGTAGAGATGCCCACAGAGGGACTGGTGCATCTTTTTAAAATAAAGGCCCATGCAGTCGCTCCCTGTTCAGGCTGTTGGTCCATATCAGGTCCAGGTGCTTGCTGCCACAGCTGGATTTGTCTCTGAGGAGGGGCCATGCAACAGGAGAGCCTGTCCTGCAGCTGTATAAATGACAGGTTTTGTTGTGAAGACTGGAAATTTTACTTAACCTAAAATAACAAACATCATGGAGTGGCGGCAAGTTAAAGCAAATTCTAATGTCAGCTGGAATGGTTTTAGGTAAATTCTATGTTATGATTTAACCCTCCCACTGTCTTTATGGGTGACCCCGCAAGGAAAGTTGACCATTGAGAAGCATTGATGGTTTATCCCTTGAGGTCCACGTGGCAGGGGTGAGGTGGTGCTCACTCCTCACCCCTGCCACATGGACCCAAGGGATAAACCATCAATGCTTCTCAATGGTCAACTTTCCTCATGGGGTCACACCCATTAGGACAGTGGGAGGGTTAATCATCATAACGTAAACCTTCTGGGTTGTTCTAAAAACCGTTATAACTACATCATCAACAGTTTTCAGTACATCAGTCATTTTATGAGGATGATATTTAGGGTTCTACCACTCTTGATATTAATTTGAATGCCAAATTATAATTGAAACTATTTAAAATAGTTTGCATTAATTTCACATTTCTCTCAGCTTTTTGCTAACTAGCTTACCTACAGTTATGGTGTGGGAGGAGTATTAGACCTGCAGGTAGCTATCATATGTTAACACGCTGAACAACACAAGGTCAACAAGTTCAGGACCTTTTGCTTTGCTTTGTCAGCTTTTCTATCCTGGTGTGATCCATCTTTTGCTTTCTTGTTAGGAAATGTTATTTTTTATATTTTTATCACCTATGGCACTCATTGGAGGCCTAGCACCAAGGGCGGAAATCCCATTTCAATTTTGGGGTGGACAATAAACAGTAAAACTTCAGAGAGTAATTTTTTGGGGGGACATGAAAAAAAAATGCTCTACATGCAACACTGTATGTCCTTATAAGAGACTGACCTGAGACTCTCTGCCTGTGTCTGACAGGCTCTGGCTGCCTCTGCTCAAGTGACTGGACTTTGCCTAAAGAAACCATTTAGAAACAATTTCATTTATTTCTTATAGATGTCTTTATCAAAATGCAAGTTTCTACTTACTTGACATTCTGGAGCTTTAAAAAAATGACCTGATGTCTGCCGTTTTTCATTTCTCTGCCATTTCAACTGACCTGGTCTGCTGACAGTTGGACAGCAACATGCACACAGATGGGAAATTGTCATTAGAACGGAGCTGGAGGATATTGATCAACAATAATATCTTGCCAATTTTGTACATCTCCATAAGCATCCTTTCTTTTTGTTTTCATTTCAATAACAAGACTGTGGCCTAAAACGGAATAAGCAATTCAGAATAAAGATTTAAAAGTAGATCGTTAATAGTTGAAGCAACATGTCCTGAAATGACACGGCTATTAGCTGACCAACAGCTACACGTGTGGACGGATGCAAAGCATTAATTTTAAGTACTAAAACATATCTAACTTTTTCACAAGAGAGAGAACATAAAATGTTAAATTAAAATTTTATTAAATCACATACCATGAAAGCTACTAAAATCCAAATAGTTCCATATTGTTTTTAATATATTTGAAAATTTCCTTCTAAATATGGCTAGAAAAAATAAGAAACTTCAAATCAGCTTTCACAAGTCAAGTATCAAAATGACTGAAATCTCTTTAATAAATCATAGAAATGTTTGTAGGCTATTAGAGAATAACTCTGTAATATTTAATTTCTTTATCTAAGTCCTACTGAATGAAAAGATACACAAAATCTAAAAATATATTCTTGAAATATTTGTTTCATTTTAATAATAAAAATTAAAAACATTTACTCTACAAATACACTAAACATATACATACTCTAGTTTATCTTTCAATTTAATCAATTTCTCACTTTTTTCAGTTTTCATAGTGTTTTTGGGTCTGTGTGGCCAACGGGATCTTTGGCTCTATGTTTTACACTGAGAGCTTTGAGCAACGTGCCTCCACCACACATTTGCTGCGTTCATCCCTGAGCTGCACGGTGCACCTGCACTTTGACATATTGTAAACAACTGCAGAGCCTGGGGAAGACGTGATAAAAGCGGTTAAACGCTGTGGTTTTCCATACATCGGACCAGTTAGTTTTGATTCTACCATATTCATCAGCTAAATAGGATGAAACGCGGACATTTTCATCGATCTATAAATGCTCCGCAGATTCCAGGGGGAGACCGTGAAAGCGAACGTGTCCGGAAAAAGGAACTTTTGATCACCTTAGTGAATGGAATAATAATAGTGGAATAATCCTGGAATGACCAGAACATGAAGTGACAACTTTTTTTTACTGTGGTGGTGGTGGTTTGTCATAAAGGGATCTCCGACCGGTGATCAAAATCTAAAGATAATCTGTCTATGTTTGACATTTATGACCACATCTGACATACATATTTAAGCGTGTGATAAATGACTTACTGCTGGAAACCGCTGGCTTTTTGATTCCCGCCTCCCGTGAGCCTGCAGGCTGCTGTGAAGCTGTGAGCGGGGCAGAGCCGGCAGCCCCACCCGTTGGAAACAGTGTGTGTGGACAGACCGTACCAACTTGAGGAATTGGAGGGGGGTGGACTATAATTTCTCAACAATTAAAAACACATTGTTTTGTATTTGCAGACTAACTTTTACGTTGTGGTTTTAGAAGACAATACAGGTTTACTGATAGCATGTATGTGTTTACAATAACTTTTGTGGGGGGGGGGGGACAACTTTGTGTGAGGGGGGACGCGTCCCCCCCATCCCCCCCGGGATCTCCGCCTATGCCTAGCACGTTTTAGTGTTTTTTCTACTCCAACACAGTTGCATAGTCCTGACCTATGGTGATGATGATGATGATGATGATGGTGGTGGTGATGAAGAAGATCATGATGGTGGTGATGATCATTTAGATGATGTTGCAGATAATGATGATGATGACGATGATAAAGATGATGATGGTGGTGATGATGGTGATTGCAATGATGATGATCTTGATGATGATGATGGGGATAAAGAAGATGATGATGGTGGTGAAGATGGTGATGATAATTATGATGATGATGGTGGTGTTGATGAAGATGATGATGGTGTTGATGATGATGGTGGTGGCGATGATGATGATGGTGGTGATGAAGATTATGAAGATGATGATGATGATGATGGTGTTGATGATGATGATGATGATGGTGATGGTGGCGATGATGATTATGGTGATGATAATGATGATGATGGTGATTACGATGATGATGATCTTGATGATAATGATTTTGGTGATGGTGGCGGCGATGATGATGATGATGATGGTGGTGGTGGTGGTGGTGGTGGAGATGATGGTGGTGGTGATGAAGATTGGTGATGATGATGGTGGTGAAGATGGTGGTAAAGATGGTGATGTTTACTCTGATGATGATGATGGGGGTGGTGGCGAGGATGATGGTGGTGATGATGATGATGGTGGTGGTAGCGATGATGGTGGTGGTGATGATGATGATGATAATGATGATGGTAATTAAGATGGTGATAATAATGATGAAAATGATGATGATGATGGTGGTGGTGGTTGTGATGATGATGATGGTGGTGAAGATGTTTGATGATGATGATGATGATGGTGGTGGTGGTGGCGGCGATGATGGTGGTGGTGATGAAGATTGGTGATGATGATGGTGGTGAAGATGGTGGTAAAGATGGTGATGTTGACTCTGATGATGATGATGGGCGTGGTGGCGAGGATGGTGGTGGTGATGATGATGATGGTGGTGGTGGTGGTGGCGATGATGGTGGTGGTGATGATGATGATGATGATGGTGGTGGTGGTGGCGGCGATGATGGTGGTGGTGATGAAGATTGGTGATGATGATGGTGGTGAAGATGGTGGTAAAGATGGTGATGTTGACTCTGATGATGATGACGGGGGTGGTGGCGAGGATGGTGGTGGTGATGATGATGATGGTGGTGGTGGTGGTGGTGGTGGCGATGATGGTGGTGGTGATGATGATGATGATGATGATGGTGGTGGTGGTGGTGGCGGCGATGATGGTGGTGGTGATGAAGATTGGTGATGATGATGGTGGTGAAGATGGTGGTAAAGATGGTGAAGTTGACTCTGATGATGATGATGGGGTGGTGGCGAGGATGGTGGTGGTGATGATGATGATGGTGGTGGTGGTGGTGGCGATGATGGTGGTGGTGATGATGATGATGATGGTGGCGGCGATGATGGTGGTGGTGATGAAGATTGGTGATGATGATGGTGGTGAAGATGGTGGTAAAGATGGTGAAGTTGACTCTGATGATGATGATGGGGTGGTGGCGATGATGGTGGTGGTGATGATGATGATGATGATAATGATGATGGTAATTAAGATGGTGATAATAATGATAATGATGATGAAAATGATGATGATGATGATGGTGGTGGTGGTGGTGGTGGTTGTGATGATGATGATGGTGGTGAAGATGTTTTATGATGATGATGATGATGATGATGATGATGGTGGTGGTGGTGGTGGTGGTTGTGATGATGATGATGGTGGTGAAGATGTTTTATGATGATGATGATGATGATGATGATGATGATGGTGGTG